CCGTAATAACCCCTCGGATAAGCTACCCGGGTACACTATCCATCAATCTTAATAGGTATAATAATTATTATAATTATAATTGCAATTATAATTGTAATCATTATTATAATCATAATCATAATCAAAATCCTAATCATAATTGTTATTATAGGTATAATTTTAATTATTCTTATAATTAGTGTTATGTATAGTTATAATTATTTGAAATGACAAACTTGACAGAAATTTATTTCTATCCTTTTAAACTCTACAATACCCTTCATTTTCTCTAGAGCCATTCATCAAGACTCGCGGTGTATTGCTCTCTTCCTCAGTGAAGTTCCTTTATCTCTTAATCAAGGCAGAAGATCTTTCATTCAGTCATCCTATTAATCTTTCATAGGTATGTATGTTCAATTAATTTTCACTAATTTTGGATAAACATCTTAAACCAGTCTTAACATTTTCAATTTATGATACGACTACATCTTATCATTTTTTAAAGATTTTGTTCTTTATGTTATGAGGTTACAACAATTATGGTGTTTCAGTTTGATTATTATTTAATTATTGATAGTATGAGTGTGTAGACTTTTTTGTATATATGATTTGCTATCACTCAAGGAATGCATCGAATGTGTTCGTGAATTTGCCTTGCTAAAATCAATTCATGTCTATGATAATCTTCTTGCGCTTTTCACTTCTTTCAGTTACACCCTAGGGGATAAAATAATCACAGAATCAAAGAACTATTAAATTAAGGAAGATAACTGTGTGTGACGCACGACACTTGTTTTTGTTTGATTGTATTAGAATTATTTGCAATGTAAAATCATTTTATTCGACTAAAAATATCCCATTATATTTATTTTAATTTGTTATTGTGATTCAAGGTAATCATTTTAAATGTCAAACACTTGATTATATTTTACTTTCTAAGTTATTCTACTTATCTTCCAAAAAAAGTTATTCTACTCATAAAATTATTATTATACAAAAAACACAAACTAATAAAAATATACTCATGTCATTATACATCTTTTAGCACCCTAAAAGCTATTTACAAACAACTAATTTTACCAAACATTTATTTATAACAAGCTCATGTCATCAGCCAATAAAAACTTCTAATACAACCAGCTATTGTGAAGGAGATAAAGGTTAGATACTCGTATACTGAAGATAGATCCCGTGCGCGCCTGGAAATCGTCAGAACATTCATTCTAGAGGTGCCTTCGGACTTCTGGAAGGCAAGGTTTACAAGCAAGTCAAAGGAAACTGAGCTGCACTGAAAAGACAAAGATATCTGCGCTACAATGTCGATTGAACACGATTGAACACCAAGGGGGAGATTGTTAAGAATATTTTATGATGTCCAATCTAATTAAATATCTTTGTATTTGTGTAGTTATTAATTAAATGGGTAATATGAGCCACAAATGTATATCTTCCCATTAGATTCTTTGTAACCCATAAGTTAGCCATCCTCTCCTATAAAAGGAAGCTAACTTATGGAAAACCTAAGGCTTACACGGTATACCAAAGTTGCTCTCTCTCTCGAGGAGAGAGTATAGAGGCAAGATAGAGAGTATAGAGGCAAGATAGAGAGATTATGTTTACGCTGCTCTCTCTCTCGAGGGAGAGCAGCGGCGTTTTACACGGTATACCAAAGTTGTTGTTTATCTCGATATCTTTCTATCCGCCTCTTCCTCACCTGTTATGATTGTTTGATTGTTAGAAACATGGACTAACATAGGGGTGTGCACCGGTTCAAAACCAGATCAAACTGGACCGGAACCGAATTTGCCATGATATGGAAACCGAAAACCGGACCGGATGTATTCCAGTTTTTATCTGGAACCGAACCGGTGTATCCAGCTCAAAACTGGAATCGGACCGGAAAAACCGGTTTCTAAATAAATAAGTGTTTTCTTTACTAAAAAAGCTACTAATCATTTGATAAAGATGGAGTACTTATTATTAAAAATATTACTTTTATTATTATTGTTTTCTAAACTCATTTTAATTAATTTTAGTGAGCAAATATTGGAGTAACTTGAGACTAGAATAAAAATGAATCGATGGATAAATATAATATTACGATAATTTATATATTAATCATTATGAAATTGATTGCTATTATATATTGTTATTAGTATGGAGTATTATTTTTTATTTTATAACTATTATTATACGATAGTATTAGTATTAGTAAATATATTTTTAAAAATACAGCAAAATCGGTTAAATCCGGTCCAAACCGGAATAATCCGGTTTTAAACCGGAATCGGACCGGAAACCGGTTTCCTAAATTTTCATAACTGAAAACCGGACCGGGTATCATTCCGGTTCGATCCGGTTGCGGTTTTTACGGTCCGGTTCGGTCCGGTTTTCCGGTTTAAACCGGATAATGCACACCCCTAATAACAACCATCTACAAAGGGAAAATTCCCAAATTTTGAAGGCATGTAGAGTATATACCTCTCCTAACCTCTTTGCAGAAAAAAAGCATAAAAAACCATCACAAATGCTAAAGGTACCCCAAAATGTACCCTATTTTTACCCCACCCTCTAATGTGTGTTCATAAATGGGGTCAATTCATTTATGGCCACACATAAATGAAGCAATTCATTTATGGCGCCATGTCCATTTTATGGCCACACGTTAGGGTGGGGTAAAAATGAGTTACACTGTGTACCTCTACTAAAACTCAAAAACCATTAAACTGGCTACTCCATAACCACAACTCCTATATGACCTTAAGCCATCTGCTGTATTTACAGTCACTGTGTAGATCTCGCAGTCGCCACTGCCACAAAACAACACATAACCCCTATTCATTTTAGACAACTCATTTCACCCCGGATCAGCCAAAAAGGTAGTACAATTTTCTCCGTGTGTGTTGTTTTTATGAAGTTCATTTCATGTGTTTGGAACATCATTTATTTCATCTGGGTTTCCACAATTCCACTTTGTGGGCATTTACATGCCGGAAATCTTGATGTTTTGAATAAATAATTGGGGAGTATTAGTGAGATGGAGAGGAGGGGGTATGCCACGATGGGTGCAATTAGTATTAGTTCAGTTTTTCTTTTAGGGCTATCCATCCTTCTCTCCTCACTCCTCAGTGTTACAGTCGTCGTTCGACTCTCTCAAGACAAAGTGGAACAGTCTTCTTCCCTCTGTTACACCTTTCGATCGAATCCTCCAGTCCTCCCCATGTAAATCAGATTTTTTCTTCAAACTGCAAGACTTCTTCTCCTTTTCCAAGGATTTTATTTTACCTAATATAATGCTCTCAGTGACTTTTTTTCCATCATTTTCAATGGAGCCAAAGATTCATTATTTTTTGGTTTGAGATTATGATGGAATAAAGCAAAATGGCTCACTAAACTGTCTGCGCTTCTTTGTTATGAAGCAACAGTCAGTCCATGCAATTTTGGACGGGATTTTCACTATGGGTCATCCGGAAACAGTCTCTCTGTGCTTTAGTACAGAGGTAAGACTGCGTACATCCGACCCCCCTTACCCCACCGTAGGTGTCTTTGCGGCACTGGGGTAAATGAAAATGATGAATGCTCTCAGTGACTTGTACTCCTTTTGAATTTAAAGTTCCCAGATTCTATCGTTCTTTGTCTATTTTTCTTTTACATTTTTCCCTGCCACTTTGTAAAGTCCCCAGCCCTCTTTTTTTTTTTAATTTGCCATTTACTCTGCTTTTGTCTATTTTGAAAAAAAATCAGATTTTCAGTCCATGATGGCATGATTAAACTTGTGATAATGATTGTTCACTCTGCTTCAGTCCATGATTAGCTTTTGTTTATTCTGTTTAGTCCATGATTCTCATAAAAAATTCAGTGTTAGTTAATCAACAATATGTAAAAGTTTAGAATGAACAATATGTAAAAATTGTTTTAAAATATGTTCTTGATTAATGCTCATTGTTTTAGTTTTTTTTCTAGAATGAGCAATATGTTAATGAGCAATTTTGGAATCAAAACTAGTATTGTACCCGTGCGATGCACGGGAAAATATATTACTCATATGAAAAAGTAAGTTTTTGAACCATGTGAATTATTCATGTAATTTAATAATTTATCACATATAAATTAGATTGTCATAATGTAATAATTGTAAATATAAATGAACAGAACAAAATCTAAGAAACAAAAGATTTCCACAATAATAAAAGCATATTGAAGGATGAAAGTTATAAATGTTTTACAAATTTCAAAATACTTGCATAAATACAATATTTGTTGTTACATTGATACTTTTGCGATTTTTGTGACATATAACTATTTTCAAACCACCGATATTAGAGTCAATGGATATTAGACAATCAGAAGAAATTGTGTTCTTTGAAACTTTAAAGACAGTCTCAAACCATCTAGTTCAAGGACATTCTTGTTCTTAACTCCTTTTCACCTCCTTTCAAAAAAAAAAAACTCCTTTCAACCTATGTTAAACAACCAGTCCGAAAAGCAACCCGGTCACATATTTGATATGATTTTCATGGTTAAAAAAACAAATAGTATATAAATATATTGCATATTATTTCTCTTTAGGGTATTGAAATTGTAATTTATTGGTTTAAAATGCTTTAAAATTAAAAAAAAAATTGGGGAAAAGACAATCCAAACCCGGGTTTTCTGGTCTGAATCTGTACCGATTTTTCCAGTTTTTGACCATTTCCGGGTATTAACTAACAGAACCGAGTTTCAGTCCAGGTTGACCCGGCTTGACCGGGTCAGTTTTTTAAACATAGATTTTCACTTGCACTTTATCCCGTCAAATTTTTTGCTTCCAAAACATGTTTACTTAATCTGGTAATAACCACTCTGGGGAGAATTCTATATGGCTAGAATTAATACTATTAGTATTGATTCATTACTTGAATTTACTCCATCTAATGAGAATGTATTTCATATCTATACTACCCATGTTTTATTTAAAATATTTTTAATAATTGACAAATCCAGACCAAAATGCAGCCCAAAAGTCCACAATCCAAAGCCCAAAATGTACATGAATTACTCTCCAAACCCAAATTTCTTTCACGCCAACCTAGCGTAACATTCTCATCCCAAAAGCCACCGCGCCTCAACATCTTCTTCGACCACAACCATAGCCATTGGCACTCGCCCCTGCGCCAACCGATTATCATTTTCCATCTTCTTTTGGCATCACTTGCACCCTCTATGTTCGCCGGTCGCCACCATTAAGCTCATAGACCGATTGCCACCGTGTTGTCCTCACCGACAACCGGTCATCATGTACATTTGACGCCTCCGACGACTCTCAGCACCTTTACTACGCCCAATCGTCAACAAAGTTTTCATAGGTAAGTTCTACATTTTAATGACTTTAATTAATTTCTTTTTCATGCAATTCTGAAGTACTTTAATATACTTTCTTTTTCATTTAAAAAGATGTATTTAGTTCGTACACTTCATATTCATTTGCTTGAAAAAAATTCCGTTCAAATTTATATTTTATTATATAAGAACTCAAAAATTGTGATTCTTTGAGTAATATGATACGGAATTGCTTGTGAATTATGTGGAATGCTTGCATCTAAACGTGCTACTTCAGAAAACATATTACACAAGAATTGATTTGTGAAAAACAAACTGTGATGATTATCCAACTATTTCATATATCCAAATTTATACTCCGTATTTATTACAGATTTTACCCCAAAGACATATACACACATTTAATGAGTAATTATTGTTGAATTTGCATTGTGAGCATCATAGGATAGATATCAGAAATTGGTTTTAAGCATAGTAATGGGGACATGGAATATATTAACAAAGGGATGAAGGAAGCATCTCAATGCAGTTTTTTCTTGAAATACATTTCTCTTCTGATTACAAACCCAAAAATAGAAAAAAGCTAGAGAGAAGAGAATGGTGGTGTTGAGTTTTTTAAAATAAGGAAAGTTTTGCATTTCTGTTATATGCACGCATGTAGAGTAGTCATCTTTCATGATTCAAAATGTGCATGTGCATGTGGGATATGCTGAAAGATTGTTTTTTTTACTTCAATTCAAAAACAACAATGCCACAAATCCTTCTTAAAGCTAACATGTTGGCTAAATTTTTATTAGAACTCAACTCTAACTTGGAAATTATGAAGAAACTTAAATTAATTTGAAACCTTTTTTGATATTACGACATGATCAAACTGAAATTAATTTGAAACCTTTTTTCTAGATAAAGATACTATACATCTTTGTTAATTTTTGACACAGATTCTTCTCTATTGTGCCTTTTGTTTTTATTTTTACTTATTTGATTGTTTTGACACCAAAGTTGATGCTCATAAAGTGACTACTATTTTTTAATAAAAGATTAATTACTACATCATACTCGATCAGAATCAACTTTAAATAATTAACCCTATTTTATTTTTTATTTTTTAGAACACAAAGAGGTATATATGCAATTACTAAGACTGTGGTATTGAGTTTTGATAGGACTGTAATGTTTTTTGCTTTGTTTGGGAGTTTATTTGGATAGTTCTTCTCTGGTTTATTAGTTGGACAAAAGAAAGAGTGTGGTTCAATAAGTGTCTTACGGAGTATTTGAGAAAAACACCGAAGGAAAGTAAAATCGTCATATTGCATTATTTTAACCACTTATCTAGATATTTATTAATGCTGCTTAATCTAATTCACATTCATGGTGATTTATTGCTAATTATATCACACTTGTGCGGAAGAAAAAATACCAGTGAAATTTAGAGTGATATGTACGGTCATGTGCACATAAAAATTTAGAATGAGATATTATTAATCTTTAATACAACAACAAAATAAAAGATTATTGGGATTTAGTGTGATTTCTACATTCGAATATTCAATGTGATTTATACATTCTGCATGTGATTTATACATTTCGCATTTTAGTTTCTTATATGTTTAAACTACAATTTTCATGAGAATGGTATGTTTTAACTAAAGAAAATGTGTTTGACGATAAGACAGCAATTCACGAGTTGACACAGTAATAGTTTTTGATAATAACAAACAAACATTTGAAATTATTAAAGTAGTTCTATAAGTTTAAATGTATGAATCTTATTTTACCTTTACCTGTGATAGATTTCATGTGTATTTTACCTTAATGCCCAATGCATGTCTGAAGAAGTAATCTACAAACCAAAAGTTGGGACATCTAAACACCAATCATGTGTAGACATCAGATTTCTTACAATAACTATGAGAACAATAATATCATGGTTCGTGTTAGGCAAAGATCTGAAGGTTCTATACCGTCCTACAGAAACGTTGATTTCATGTTTTTGCTTCCTTGTAGCCATTTCTTTGGGCTGCAAGCAATGATGAAGTTGTAAAAAGGTGGAACCCCTAATTATTTGTATAAGCAAGGTTGTATAGAACTGTTGATCTCAGGGCTTTGTTGTGGGTGAACAGTTTGGCCAGCTTTGTATATGACAGTAGAGGAGTAGAAAAGTTAGCTCGTATTTATAGTAGAAAGATTCTGGTAGCATTATGCTAGAATATGAAAAGCCACATTTTGGTAGCAAGCATTAAATGTCCACGTGTTGAACAATGTGATAGCACATTCAATGCATAAATGTTGAGCAACGTGAAACACATTCTTTCATACACACCTTTTCATGGAGAAGATAAACAGCCTCAAGCCGTCATAATTACTGCATTATTGTTTGCTAATCCTTTAGATGACCAATATAACATTTCAAACGTATTGAGCTAATCCCGCCCAAATTCCCTCCCAAACTGCCCCCACACTTTTCCGTTTTTATATATATATAGACTTGTTTTAATGAGTAATTGCTTTAAGTATTTGTACCCTTGCCTGATTTTATTTGCAAGTTATGTGTTAACATGAGTAATTAGCACTACTATTACTATTATGATTACTACTATGGCTACTAGTTATGTGTTTTTGGCTTAATTATGCAATGGTTTGCTACATGCTTTCGCTTTTATTGAAAGCTCAACCTCCTTGCTTATGTTCGTGATAGATCACTGGTAAAATACGACTAAGAACAATAGAGAATCCAAAAGAATTGATCAAGAACTGATCAAGAAATCTTTATTGAAGAGAATAGTAGGAATACGTAGCCTCAGACAATTCGAGATGCCCAGTCTCCAAGCCTATTCCAATTAAATACTTGCCTCCCTATTTTCTCCACTCCCCTTCTATTTATACTACTACAAGTACACTTACTACTATTATTATTTCTATTAATGGGTTAAATGCGCCAAACCCCTTCATGAAATATAAATTCGGCGCATTAGCCCCTTGTGATTAAAAAAATGCGTGAAACCCCTCTGTGTTTTAATTAATCATGCGCAAAACCCCCTTCAAGAACAAATTTTACATTTTTGAAATCACTTTTTTAATAATATGGTTGAATATGCAAGTGACTTTTGTCAAAATTTCTAAATTATACAAAACAAAACTAATCATTTTTCATTTTTTGGAAATTAAATTTGTTCTTGAAGAGGGTTTGGCGCATGATTAATTATAACACAAGAGGGTTTGATGCATTTTTTAAATCGCATGGGGCTAATGCGCTGAATTTATATTTCAGGAGGGGGTTTGGTGCATTAAAGCCTTCTATTAATAGCCTACTAAGCTACATTCCTATCGGTTCGGTTTTCGCTTTAAATAAGTTTGAGGTGGTGTGATGTGGAATGTTAGATATATATCAAAAGAATAAAAGCAACATTAAAATAATTGTGTACATGAAGAATATATCTAAGGGTTTTTACTAGACTTAAAGCTTGTTGAGTAAAGAATAAAAAAGCTCAGCGTAACTTCCATTCATATTCAAGTAATACCCCCATGACCACATAAGTAGTTTTTTAAAACACTTATGCCTCGCAAAACGCCTTGAGGTCCATGTCTTGGTCCACTGGAGGCGTAAGCCTCAATCAAATCACTTGAGGTGCGTCAACAAGTTTATTTAGCGCCTCACAGTGAGATGAAACTTGACACACGCCTCAAGAATGTCTTTTAAGCAATGCTCCCAATGAAACCACTTAGTTTTGCTGGCAATTTAAGAAGTGAGCCTCAAAAGAGTCTATAAGTTCTTAATCAAGATGCCCCCTGTTCAACACAAAAGCGGCATTAGATGATTTGCAAATTAGGGTCTCTGGCCTTCTAATGACGAAAGTTCTCTTTGCCTTTGTTTAGTTGGGGGATATTGGGAGAGGGAAGGGAAGAGTGGTTTTTGTTTTTTTATTTAATGAAGTAGTATTACTTTTGGATTATTGAAAGAAAATTTAGATGAAGATTTGTATAGAAGTAGATCAATTAATTAAACATATAACAATTTTGTAATTTAAGATTAATCAATGAAGACAAAATAATAAAACCAAAATCAATCCTCACGTCCCCTTCCCAAACAAATATCACAACCAAACACACAACAACAACATTACCCCTGTGCTTCAAAGGCTCTACTAAAGCACATAGAGATTGTTTCCGGATAACCCATGATAAAAACCGCGTCGAAAATTGCATGGATTGACTGATGCTTAGGGAATTTGATGGTCACGCATTATTATGGAAATGTGAATCTTTCCTGTAAGATTGCATACATTTTCATTCTTGCATTCATAATTTTTGATAACTTTGATGCAAGGTTTTGAAATGCGAAATCGGGCCTCGAGGCATTTGCTCGTAGCCTCACGAGGCGTAAGCCTCGAGGCGTAACGAGGCGTAAGCCTCAAAATTAATTGCTTAAATGTTTAAAAGAATATCCCATCTAAACAAAATCAAGTAAAAATAACATAACTATAAAACATCCAAGTCAGAATAACATAAAATTGAAATGCCAAAGTCAAAACTCAAACCAACGTAAACACTAAAATTCCAGGACAAATAAATAAGCTAAATGATAGTTTTATGATCACTTTAAAGTTTAAACTGTAGGCCAATAGTACAGTAATAAATTAATAAAATAATAATATTGAATGACAAGTTGACAACCATAATACTTAATAATAGCATAAGTGCATAACAACTATAGTGAGGCGGTGGAATATTTTATAGTTTGCTGGCTGAAAAAGCATTAAATACGTAGCAGACTATTTACTTCAAACCTGAACTTTTAAATAATTAAAAATTTAAAACAAATTAACTTAAACAATAAATACAACAAGAAACTATAGAAGTATGCTGTACACGGTGGGATATTCTATACAAGTGGTCGTTGGGATATTTTAGTATATTTACTTAATAATACCTGGAATGAAAGGGAAAGATCGAAGTCTACATACTCAGCTTCAAGCCTTCGACTGAGAGAGTTTTTCAAGCTGTTTCTTAATATAGTAGTAGTGGAAGGTAATTAAATAGTTACCTAGGGATGTCGTGTGTTACCTAAGAGATAAACGTGTAGTTTTTAAAAAAAAATTAAATCGAGGCCCCCAATAGTTCAAAAAAAGAGCCCAAGTTGCGTTTAGTGAAATGCGTACGCCTCAATTACGCCTTGCGCACTGGGATCGCATCACCGCCTCAGCAAAAAAAGGCGTTAGCCTTGTTAGTAGAAGGTGATGCTCAAGCCTTACAGGCGATTTGATAGCGCCTTTGCGCTTTTACGCCTCTGAGGCGTAGGTGCGTTTCGCCTTTTAAAACCATGCTTTGATGTAAAATCAATGCATTGCATAGACTCTGGTTTGTTGAAATTGTCAATACATGAATGAATGTGTAATGAAGATGATGATATACTGTATAATATTTTACTGCTGCCCTGTCCAATGTCTATGCAGGTTTTATTTTTTAATAATGGATGTTGTGCACGGAAAAGATGAGGTGGAAGAGGGTGAAAGCTTGCTGCAAACAAAAGGGGGTGCGAATATACATGTAAATGTTCTGTTCTTTGCTCGTGCCACTGACCTCACAGGCTTGAAGAATATGCCTCTGGAAGTTTCGTTGGGCAGCACTGCCAGAGATTGCTTGGATAAAGTTATCATCAAGTTTCCGGGATTGCAAGAGATACGTAATTGCATGGCCCTTGCCCTGAACATGGAATACACCACAGAATCTACCATTGTCAAAGACAAAGATGAGCTTGCCATTATTCCTCCTATAAGTGGAGGTTAGGACGCTTCATCCCCTTGTCATGTAAGAAATGAAGGATTTGGAAGCTCACATACATATTACTGCAATGATAATAAAGCCATTTGCAATGTCATGTGTGTGTACATACTGATATAAATACACATATACTTGTCCGTGTACTGTGTGACATAAAATCATTGTTATTGTATTAAAGCTTACTTCAATTTGCCTCAACAATTTTGGCCTAAGTGCCTGCATCAATCCATCATCATGAGAGGAGTTATTACTTAGTAGCAATTTGCCTTTCCTGAAATTCAACAATTTGCTCCCACCCTCATTAGAACTTTTTACTGGGGCTACGCTCGTTAAAAAAATTATAAATCCCCATCTTGTTACATTACTAGATTGCCTCCATCATCATGTTTCCCCCCTTCTTGCAAACGGAACCTGCCTGGAGTATATGACTCTCTTTTTCTCAAAATATTGCTATATTATGTGTCATACATCGATAAGGTATAAGCAGGGGCGAAACTAGTAAGGGGCTTGGTCCTTGCAGTTTACGATGTTTGATTAACGATAAAATAATTTAATCTCTACAAAGCCTGATAAAAAAATGTAAATTTGATAAAAAATTGATTTATAAAGTAAAAGATTAAAAATGATTTAAGTTGACCATGTGAATAGTGGACGAGAACCTTCTAATGTGACGGGAGTAGTATGTGTGTGTGTATATATATATATATATAGGTTTTGGTTCAAATAAGAACATGATCTTAGGAGAAAATGAGAATGAATCTGGACCGTTAGATTTGATTTATGTGGAATTAAATGTGCATTAGATGAAACTGTAATGTTCATTAGGTGAAATTGAAATGTGCAGCACAAATGATACGATATGGTGACATTATATGAAGTTGAATTGTACATTAGTTGACATTGAAATGTGCACTAGGTGACACTGAAATGTGTAGAATAAAATGTACGGTGTGATGCTATTTTTGTACCTTTTATTTCGCACGTTTAAGTTTCATCTAATGCACATTTGAGTTTAAATTTGTATTCCACACATTTCAATATCATTTAATGCACATTTCAATTTCACCAAAAGCACAATTTAGTTCAACATGATACAATCCAACGGTCCAGATTCGTTCTCATTTTTCTCCTGAGAGTCCGTTCTTACCGGAACCGCTTCATTCAGAATTTGGTCCAGATTCGTTCTCATTATAAGTTCATTCTTACCGGAACCGCTCTATATTTTTCAGTGTACAAATATAAGTATGTTTGCTTTTGAAATACAATCAATCAAGTTATTTTTACCTGCTATAACATGTTTTTTAGGAAAAAAAAAAATTAGGATTGTTGATAAATTTTATAAAAGTTAATATAACTTTAAAAAAAAGTTAAAAAAATATAAATGTAAAAAAAGATTAATATTTTAAAAACATAAAAATGAAAAAATAAAAAATCAGAAAACTGAAAAAATAATGTGATAATGTCAAAAATATAATATTGGCTTTGACAATTTGGAATTTTTCAGAATTTGTATATGTATATCTTCATATTTTAACAACTTTTTTGAGATTTTGAATATAAAAAACTAGTTATTACAGGTCAAAAACTCTAAAATGACCGAATTGGTCATTTCTATTAAAGTAAGCTTCTTTATATAAATTTTTTAGTATAAAAATTTAAGTGATGGATTAAAGGGTTTAATGCACCAAACCCCCTTCTGAAATATAAATTCAACGCGTTAGCTCTCTATGATTTAAAAAATGCGTCTAACCCCCTTGTGTTATAATTAATCATGCGCCAAACCTCTTCCAAGAACAAATTTAATTTCCAAAAAAAAGAAAAATGATTAGTTTTTTTTTTGTATAATTTAGAAATTTTGACAAAGTTACTTGCATATTCAACCATATTATTAAAAAAAAATATTTCAAAATTGTAAAATTTGTTCTTGAAGGGGGTTTTGCGCATAATTAATTAAAACATAGAGACGTTAACGCATTTTTTAAATCAGAAGGGCTAATGCGGCGAATTTATATTTCATGGGTTTGGCGCATTTAACTTCCAAATTGTTTTGCTTTTCTTGCCCAAAAATCAAGAATCTTAAAGAGCAAAACCCTGGTGCTTGTGTCCCGTCGCCTTAAGCATTCATTCCGATGTGAAAAAAGACTTGGAAAATCCACCAAACTCTGGTGCAACCAGACACCACAAACAACCATCGTAACCGGATGGTTGACCCAGCAGTTCACCAGGTAGTCAGGCACGGAGGCACCACTCCCGCGCACTCATCATTCTAACAACCTCTGTCGGCATCGTTAGAAATCAGACGCACTCATCGGCCTCTCAGTTTTACCAAGTCATTTAACTCTGGATTCATTGAAACGAATCAGCTAAAAGGTAGAGTTATCTTGTGTCTGTTTGCGTTTCTTCTTATGAGTTCACTTCAGTGTTCGGAACCTTGTTTTTTTGGGGATTCAACTTAATGGACATTTACATACCGGAAATCTTGAAATTTGGAAGTAAGTATTGGGGAATAGTATTGACATAGAGGGACTATGCCTCGTTATTCCAGACTATCATTCCATTTACTCTGTAGATCTTTTGGTCAAAGGGTTATCCAGGGAATTTGTTGTTTTAGCAGTTTCTCAGTTGGTGATAGTGTAGTCAGTGGGCTTGGAAGCATAGAGTACCACTTGAGTGAAGGTTCAGAAACTCCGAATTTTGATCGCAGTTTTGAGGAAAAGCTAAATAGACGTTTGTCCATCAACGGATTTTCTGAAGGCAATTGCTCCCAGCAAAACCACATTCCCTCAAGTAAAAGTTTTGCTGGCAATATTAGAATTGACTCTCAGAGGATTCTAGAAATTCTGCATCTAGATGGTCCTCCCCAGTTTGACAAGAAAGCTGCTTTAGATGATTTACAAGTTAGGGTTTGTGGCCTTCTAGTGAGGGAAGTTCTGTTAGGGATACTAAGAGTCACAAATTTTTATGAAAATAAGAAACATTCATCTAAAATTGGGTACATGTTCTTTGAATGGTCTGGTCAGCAGGAAAACTATACCCACACGGCATATTCATACCATTTAATGATGCAGATTTTTTCTGAGGTGGGGGAATTCAAGGCAATGTGGGAACTATTAGACGAGATGATCGAGAAAGGGTACCCGACAACTGCCCGGACTTTCAACATATTGATTTGTAGGTGTGGTAATGCTGGATTAGCTAGGAAAGTAGTGCAAAAGTTTATTCGAACAAAGAGGTTTAACTATAGACCATTCAAGCATTCTTTTAATGCAGTCCTGCACAGTCTACTATCCATAAAGCATTACAAGCTGATCGAATGGGTGTATCAGCAGATGTTGCTCGAAGGCCATTCCCCAGATATTCTAACTTATAACATACTTCTCTGTGCAAAATACAGACTAAGAAGACTTTGTCAGTTTAACAGATTGCTTAATGAAATGGAGTCAAAGGAGGTTCCCCCTAATTCCTACACATTCATTCTCCTTCTTCATGTTCTTGGCAGAGGGAACAAACCACCGGAAGTTCTTAATCTTTTGAACCATATGAAAGAAGTAGGGTGTAATCCTAGCATTCTCCACTTCACTACTCTGATTGATGGGCATAGCCGGGCCGGTAACTTAGATGCATGTAAATACTTTTTTGAAGAGATGGTGACCCAAGGTGGTTGTTTCCCTGATGTTGTTTGTTACACTGTAATGATAACACCATATGTTGTGGCCGAGGAGTTTTGTAAAGCTGAGGAGCTTTTTGGTGAGATGGTAAGCAAGGGACAGCTACCAAATGTGTTTACCTACAATTCCATGATCCGCGAGCTTTGTATGTCTGGGAAATTTGTGGAGGCTTGTGATATGCTGAAAGAAATGGAGTTGAGGGGTTGTAATCCGAATTTTCTGGTTTATAGGTCTCTGGTAAGTCATTTGAAGAATGCTGGAAAACTTAAGAAAGCTCATCAAGTGATAAGACAAATGGTGGAGAAGGGGCAATATGCCCATCTTGTATCAAAGATTAGATGTAGAAGAGGGTGATGGACAGTTCTCTGTTTATTGGTTTGTAACATTTGGTTGAAGAAAGAGGTCAATCAAGCAGGCATTCACCATCTGCATTCGGATTGTGTGTTTAAATGAGACACAATTGTATTCATGATGATATCCCAATAATGTGTATTTATTGATTTCTCTCCATATGGCAACCTTGATAGTGTTTGCTCAAATATAGAGAAATACATACATACTACGTATTTCAGTTGAGTTGAGCAGATACATGGATTTAGCACCTCTTCATTATGTCCGAAACAAATAACCTGAATGTCTGAGGAGCCCACGCCGGTTTGATCTGGTCTGAGATGAATGTTTTTGTCTGGTTTAGGACTGAACAAAACAGGGGCGGATGCAAAGCGTTGTGAATGGGGGCACATGTCCCCAATAACAATCACATTTTTAGTTTAATTATTTTTACTTTCAATTAATTAATGACTAGTGCCCCCAATAAAAAAAATATTGATGCCCCCATTAAACACTACAATTCTTTTGGAATGCAAAAGTGGTGGAAAGTGGAATGGCAAGCCCGTAGGTGATCTGTTTATGATTTTTGGGATATTTATATATTTATTTATTTATAGATATTTGTATACCTATTTTGCAGAATAAGTTTTTCTTGGCAAATTGCAGAATAAGTTTTAGAAAAGTTGTTATGTTGGATTCTAATCGTAAATAGACTAATAAAAAATGGAGTATTTAATTTGTATATTTACTTACTTCTTAGTTAATACATAGTAATTATTTTCATATATTTATTTTAGTTTATTTATTATTTTTCACTTTAGTCACTTATTATTATCTTATAAATCGCACTGGTTGAAAGGTGTTTTTGCAATGATTATTGTTACAATTCAAGTTAGACAATCGTATTGGTGACAAGTTTTGTGAATAAAATTTATCAAAAATAAGCAATGAAATTAATAAAAAAAACTAAAGAAAATAAAATCTATGGAATTGTAGGTCCTAAATTAATATTTTTTAATCATTCGGGTCCTATATTGACACGTTTTATCTTTCAAGTTTCGAATTGATAATTCATTTATCTTTTAAGTTCTATATTAATAAAAATTCTTGTCTAATTATGTGAATATATAATTAGAAATGAGATTGCGATGATCTAATGGATCATTTTCAAAAAATGAAATCTCATAGAGAGCAATTATGATAAAATTCAAGACAAAAGATTTTTGTATTTCAATAATGTTATGAATTGCATCATTTCAAATAAATGTATATTCCGTTGTTTCAGTCTTATACGAAGC